AAGATGTTACCGATGGATTATTGTATTATTCTGCCAGAGAACGCCTGACTCAAACTGAGAACTGTGTTTCCCCGTTTGTTTTTCAAAATGACTTTGCTGTAATAAATTTTTATCATTTTAAAACAATTGAAGATTTTTCCTTTTTTGCTTAAAATTATAATTTTACTAATTTATAATTGAAGGAGATTTTTGATTTGTTCTCAGCTGATGGAATTTTATGATCAATGTGTATATGTTTGTATCAGAAATTTCAATAAAAACGAAGTGAACACAGTCTGGCTGAAACATAACCTTCCTTTGAAACTCCTGGTTTTCTCTCTTGCAGAAGTTTTCCTCTGGAAGAACTTTTTTAGGTGAATGTGAAAATAAGACAAATTCTCTGAGAGTGTGGTCCCACACAGATCTGACTTATAACATCTACTTTAGTTGAGAATACAGGTGCTGGGCATAAAATTAAATATCATGAAAAGTTGATTTATTTCACTAATTCCATTCAAAAAGTGAAACTTGTACAGGTCCTTCTCAAAAAATTAGCATATATCAGGTCTCTCTTGTAAATGAGTCCTCGAGGCTCGATGGGATTTACCTGTATAAATAAAGGTTGATTGATATTGTGATAAAGGTCATTATTTTCCATAATGTAATGATAAAAATGAAACTTTCCTATATTTCAGATTCATTGCACACCAACTGAAATATTTCAGGTCTTTAATTGTTTTAATACTGATGATTATGGCATACAGCTCATGAAAACCCAAAATGCCTGTCCCAAAAAATTAGCATATCATGAAAAGGTTCTCTAAACAAGCTATTAACCTAACCATCTGAATCAACGACGTAACTCTAAACACCTGCAAAAGATTCCTGAGGCTTTTAAAAACTCCCAGCCTTGTTCATTACTCAAAACCGCAATCATGAGTAAGACTGCCGACCTGACTGCTGTCCAGAAGGCCATCATTGACACCCTCAAGCAAGAGGGTAAGACACAGAAAGAAATTGCTGAACGAATAGGCTGTTCCCAGAGTGCTGTATCAAGACACCTCAGTGGGAAGTCTGTGGGAAGGGAAAAGTGTGGCAGAAAACGCTGCACAACGAGAAGAGGTGACCGGACCCTGAGAAGGGCAGATTCCAGACCTTGGGAGACCTGCGGAAGCAGTGGACTGAGTCTGGAGTAGAAACATCCAGAGCCACCGTGCACAGGCGTGTGCAGGAAATGGGCTACAGGTGCCACATTCCCCAGGTCAAGCCACTTTTGAACCAGAAACAGCGGCAGAAGCGCCTGACCTGGGCTACAGAGAAGCAGCACTGGACTGTTGCTCAGTGGTCCAAAGTACTTTTTTCAGATGAAAGCAAATTTTGCATGTCATTTGGAAATCAAGGTGCCAGAGTCTGGAGGAAGACTGGGGAGAAGGAAATGCCAAAATGCCAGAAGTCCAGTGTGAAGTACCCACAGTCAGTGATGGTCTGGGGTGCCATGTCAGCTGCTGGTGTTGGTCCACTGTGTTTTATCAAGGGCAGGGTCAATGCAGCTAGCTATCAGGAGATTTTGGAGCACTTCATGCTTCCATCTGCTGAAAAGCTTTATGGAGATGAAGATTTCATTTTTCAGCACGACCTGGCACCTGCTCACAGTGCCTAAACCACTGGTAAATGGTTTACTGACCATGGTATTACTGTGCTCAATTGGCCTGCCAACTCTCCTGACCTGAACCCCTGGAGAACCTGTGGGATATTGTGAAGAGAAAGTTGAGACGCAAGACCCAATACTCTGGATGAGCTTAAGGCCGCTATCGAAGCATCCTGGGCCTCCATAACACCTCAGCAGTGCCACAGGCTGATTGCCTCCATGCCTCGCCGCATTGAAGCAGTCATTCATGCAAAAGGATTCCCGACCAAGTATTGAGTGCATAACTGAACAGGATTATTTGAAGGTTGGCGTTTTTTGTATTAAAAACACTTGTCTTTCATTGGTGGGATGAAATATGCTAATTTTTTGGGACAGGCATTTTGGGTTTTCATGAGCTGTATGCCATAATCATCAGTATTAAAACAATTAAAGACCTGAAATATTTCAGTTGGTGTGCAATGAATCTGAAATATATGAAAGTTTTTATTTTTATCATTACTTTATGGAAAATAATGACCTTTATCACAATATGCTAATTTTTTGAGAAGGACCTGTATGTATAAGTGCTATAATTTCAGTTGCTTGTACAGCTTTATATAATTTTTTTTTAAATTTATTTATGAAAATGCTTCTGCGTGATAGATACCTCCCTCCTATTGACACATGGCAAAGACCATGGGTTATTTTTTGGTTTAATCTGAGCATGAGGTATTGAGGTCAAGTGGCCTACATCTGAGGGGCCGGTTGACCACAATTTTTTTGTAGTCCCTTCAAGTCAGACTCATCCATCCTCCAGGGGACCGTAGTCTGTACAGGGCATGGCATGTTGTATTTTGTAACCAACATCTTTCCGTCGCGCATTGTGGGGTTTGTTTAGTGAGATGTGTGGTACTGTATCATGTTGGTACATGGGTTGTTCTTGTTCAGGAAGTAAAACCGCTGATCCTGCCAGAGACTTTTTATCGGTGTACATTGTAGTCACTGCTACCACCACAGCGGTGTCTATTAAAAATGCAGCAATATAATCCTCAGAATGGTGTAACAATGCATTCATGGGGATTTGTAGCTGGCTGGGGTATGTGGGCCTTGCTTGTTTCTTTCAGGAGCAGGTCAGGTGCTGTAGTTACCATGCCGGGTCATTAGTTGGCGCTGTGATTTTTGTACCTTCGCTTAATGCGCATGCCTGCTGCCGCAGCATGCTCTTCCTGTGAGCTAAATGTTCAGCTAACCCAGCTACTAATGATGACAAGGTAAAACTGGATATTGTCTGGATTGTGGAGAGGAGTCGACAGATTTGACGGCAAGCGGGACCGCTTCGTCTAACAGCCCACCAGTCATTGAGTGGACCAGAACCGAGTCAACGATGTTGGACTTTACTCCGTGATAATCAGTAGTTAATTTACATCAAGTAAATTAATGTTCTTAATAATGTTTATTTGTGTTTACTTTGATCACACTACATCCAACTGTGTTTTTATTTTTATTTTGTCTATATTTTTTCCACGAGAAGAGGCTGTCCTCCCCCTCGGCGGAACGATTCTGAACGAGGCTCGACTCAGGCGCAGTTAGGAGGACGTCGGAGAGAAGAGAGATATGTTGGATGAATTATTTAAAAATCCCCTCAGTTCTTTTATTCAATACATGTAATGTTTGTGTAGATGAACATATACTGAGATATATTCATAAATTAAACGGATTCATTCATTTTTCTGGACTGAATAATATTGTGCATTGAATTTAATAAAATGTAACGTGAGACGTTAATTTTCTTTGACCCATCAAATGAATGCGTCATTTATTAACAGAATCAAAGTTTAACATCAAACATTTACATTAATTTGGCAAAAATAACAACAGCTTAATTAATTAACAAGTTTTACAAGGAGGAAACCATACGGCCATGGTTTCCCCATTTCAAGCATTACAACAGACATTTCTGAAAATATCTGGAATGATTTGCTAGCAGAATAGAAGAGTTTAAAGATGGAAAATGAGGTTTATCTTGAGAGAGATAGGTGAGGGAATTTGTCTGTTATAACCAGAACAACACGCTCCTTCTGGACCCAGCTTAACCAACGGTACACTTTGCGGTTGAAGATCGACTCTTTACCTTGGCAGAGGATAATTCCGACTTCGGTGTAGAGTTGTCTTCAAATGCTCTCCAGCGTCTCCGTAAGGATAGTAGGGAACCGTTCGGAGTCGTGAGATCATCCCAGAACAGACTTCTTCATAATTCCTCTGAACTTCTCTTGTTCAGCTTAGTCGCAGATGTCCTGAGCATTCTGCATTCCAGCATTCTGAACTCTGCTGCTCTCGGAACCAACTCACAGCATTCTCTCAGCGTTCTCCCAGCGTTCTTCCGTTCGGTTTGCTCTCCGAACCGAACTCGACTGCACTCGACTGCACTAGCTCTCCATCACGACTGCTACTCGACTGGTTTTAACTAGGAAGTGCCGACATTTAAAGAGTTCTATTTCCGGTTCATTTGGGAAGTTTCTGATTGGTCGATTGACCAAACAGAGGTGTGTTTTTGTGATGTAAGAGGTTATTAAAAGTCAAGGAAAAGATTAAGTTTGTTTAAGAACAGACAGAAGATTGTTATGAAGAACCCAGACTTCGTGGAGTCAATTCTCTAGTATCTTTCTGTAAAAGTTAAACATGACATTTCTTTCCAGTAAACTTGCAGTTGACCGAAACTTGACCTTTGACCAACTTACACAACTTGCTCATTTCAGACAGAAGATCAAGAAATTGAATCATTACTCTGTAACACATTCTAACTTGATTTCCACTTTGAATGAGGATTAAAAATCACTAGGGTAATATCTTGTACGTTCGTGTACGTTTCCCAGTTGATTCAGAATGAGTAGTTCACTTCAACATTTGAAAATGGTTTGAACTAAACACACTTTGATTTATCAAAACATTTGTAAAATAGTAATGATAATAGAAAAAGAGAGTGTTCTTTCAATTGATCAGTGCAGGACACTTAGAAAGTCTCTGGATGAACTTAATCTTGTGTTTCTG